GGCCCGAAACGTCAGCCTTTCTGCTCCTATGATGCTGCTTGGCCTGCTGTGTTCATCCAGCCCTGCACCTTGTTGTCTTGGATTCTATTTCTGTTTGTATGCTGTAGTGCATTATTGACGTCACAGACTTTATTCTCCATTGGTCCTGGGCAGCTTGTGAGGGTTTTCTCCAAATCAGCTTAGACTCTCACTGAGTCAAAAGTGCATTTGTGAATGTTGGGTGAGCTTTGGATTCACCTGTGATTCATTTAGTGGCCCAATTTCCTTTGCCACTTAACTAGCTGGATTTACATAAATAGTAGCTACTTGAACAAACAACTCGAGAACAATCAGTAGCAATAGAATCATGCCTCAAACAGCCAGTACCTTCCTAAGCTCAATTAGGGATGGTAAGAAATGCTGGTTTTGCCAGTGATGCTCATAACAGCAAATAAAAGAATGCTATTTAAAGGGCTTCTGTAGCACACTGGTAGTGTCCTTACCTCTAAGCTAGGTGGCCTGGGTTCCAGTCCCACCTGCTGCAAAAGTATGTCATAACATTTGGATGAGTTGCTATAAAACTGTAAGAATAGTACTTAGTGAAGAGAAAATTGGACTACAAGAAAACAATATCTTAAAGTCATCCTAACTATTCAAATTCAAAAAGCAAGTTGTAAAATGTTCACTTCTAATGCACTCATTGGCCATTTGTGACAAGGCACGAGTGCCACTTTCTAGGAATCCAATTGGTTGCAGTGAGCTCAGTTGACTTTATTGTTTTATATTTGATTGACAGGACTCTGGACCAATGTTCGTAAGGATGAAATAGATGGAAATAAGGACGGATTTGGTCGATTTCAGTTCACAACAATGGCTTCATGATCCCTGGTAACCACATGATTTCCATGGTAACCACTGCTGATTGGTCTTTAGCACAGTTATCAGTCTGTCAGATTTTGAGACTCTCATTGGTCCCTGGTAACCACGTGACTAGCATGGAATGAAATCACAAAAGACAATTTGACATCACAAAGTGATTGAAACTGATTTTTCTAAAGCTGAAAAGAATTCCTTTATAAAAACGTGTTACCAGGGCCGGAAATAGAATGTAAATTGAGAAGGTGTGTTCAAATCCTCTGCCTATTTATTACACAATTAATAGATCCAGCAATAATTGTAGAACAATTGCAGGAAATGTGTAAACCACTACCAAGAATTCTGTGGCATTGTTTAAGAAGTAACACATGTTCTGCTCAATGGCTATAAATCTTTACCATGATCCTCCAAATTACTGATATAGTATTCGTTATGATTACTTCAGTAATTTACCAGAAATATTTCCATTGCACATTTTACATAATAAATATGGTTCTGTGAAGCTTTCTTGGGTTGTTTTACATTAAACACATTTACATTTACGTTTACATTACATTAAACTGTAGAAATGTGGTTACAATCTGCATGATGTATCATTTGCACATGCTGATGCAGAATTTCATAGTAGGAGTAAGACTTCTGAAATATTTGCAATTCTGAGGGAGAAATGGAACTTAAGTACAGGAGAGAAAGAAGCCCATGTAGAGCTAACATTAAGAAACGATTTAATATGTGTTTTCAGAAGTAAATAATTCAAATGCCTTGACTTCAGGGACATGGATAGAAAAAGGGCCTGGAAACATTGCAAGGAAAAGAAACTCGGTGACTTGCGTCATTCATTTCATGGCAGTTATGAGTTCTAGATTCCTGGGCCTGAGCAGAAATAATGAGTGAAAATGGTGCTACACCAATGAAACAAATGAGCTTTTGATTTGTTTTCATTTAGTCAGTGGAATTTTTCAGCTAGTCAGAGTCATGAGTATAGCTGAGATTGATTATTCTGCACATTCATTAGAATTGTACAACACCGGAAGTCTGTTTGTGCAGAATGAAATCTCAAGGCATTGCAGTAATCTTTTATTTTTAGATGTTGGCTGCTCTGTTGTATGTATAGTTATATTTTCCCCACTTTCTTTCAGATTTATAAAAGTTATGGTTTAGTTTTATATCTTGACTTAACACAAACTACTTTTGCCATTTTACTTTGAAATTGTCAATGTTGTGACACATCTTGAAATGTATTTCAGTGCAATTCTTTCACTAAACATTGTCAAATGTGCTGACATAAGCTTTGCTTCAAACCCGGCCTCCAGTATCATTGTTTCAATTCTGTCTTCAGCGTCAGCCACCTTTTAACGGCTCTTACATTAGTTTTCTAATGTGGGCAGAGCTTCCTTAGTGTACATCGAGATTTGTCAAATTTGTTCAATGGGGATTTTGACAAAGAAGAGGAAATCATTTCATTTGTCAAAATAAGTTTCATGTTGAAGACCACAGTAGGTATATTGCTGGATATTGTGGTCTGTTCATACTACAATAAGATAAATTTTTGAATAAAGGATTGCCAGTGCTGCAATAGAGTCAGAGATTAAATTGGAGGTGGGTTTGGGTAGAGGGGTAATGGAGAGGTGGGTGGAGGATTTTTTTTCATGTGTGTGCTCTTGGCTAGAATGCACTGCCTGAAAGGTTAGTGGATGCACATTCATTTATTACTTTCAGAAGAGATTTGGATATTTATTTGCAAAAGAGAAAATTGTGGCTATGGAGAAAGGTAGTGGATGGAGCTAATTGGATGTCTCGTTCAAAGAGCTGGCGGTATCATGATAGGCTCCTTCTGTGCTTTATTATTAGGATGTTCTGAAACATGCAACAGATTTTTTAATATATAACTGTAACGGTCAGACTTCATTGCCTAGTGTGTGAGCCTATCTGTCAAATCTCATGTACATTGTCACACGCCATCTCTAATGTTCAGCTAGGTTTGAAGAGAAACAAAATTGAAGGATGCAGATTACCTCAAACAATGAAACTAAATTTAACTTGTTGTCCAACCCTCTTGCTGAAACTAGCTGTGACCCTTCAGATGAGTCCAAAGAACTGTTGGTGCAGGAACAGGCCTTTTGGTCCACGAAGACTAGTGCCATTCTGTTAAATATGATCAGTACCCTATCTAGTTTCATACAATCTGCAAACTTTGAATCTGTATCTTGTCTCCTCCCTTGTGCAGGATTTGGTCAGTAGGTCATTCTCCCAGAACTTCTGCTAGACAGCTTTCACGTTGCTTGTGAGTAAAGTCTACGATTCAAGTTGTGGCAAAGTTGTCAGTCATCATAGTAATTGGGGCAGCATGGTGGCACCATGGTTAGCACTGCTGCCTCACAGCACCAGGGACCCAGGTTCAATTCCAGCCTTGGGTGACTGTGTGGAGTTTGCACGTTCTCGTTGTGTCTGTGTGGGTTTCCTCCAGGCACTCTGGTTTCCTTGCGCAGTCTAAAGATGTGCAGGTTAGGTCGATTGGCCATGTAATATTGTCCATAGTGTCCAGGCATGTGTGTGTAGGTTCGGTAGATTAGCCCCTACATTAGGGTTACAGGGATAGGGTAGAGGGGTGAGTCTTAGTGGGGGGATGCTCTTTGGCGGGTTGGTGTGGACCTTTTTAGCCGAATGGCATGTTTCTGCACTGTAAGGATTCTATATTTTTAAAAAAAAATTCTATAACCCAGACGATCTGATGAATGCCTGCCTGCTTACCCAGCTGTTTCTCTAGCTGAAACTGCAAAGACTGTAAAAATATTCTGGGATTTCCCAACACAGCACAGAAATCATGTTTGGCTGCAGACCCATCCAAAGAAAGCATGCTAAACGGGAGAAGATTACCAAGGCTTTTCTAGAGCTAATTCCCAACATTTTTCAATGCCTTTTTACTGTGCAAGGTCAGGCTATTGGAAATTGTGAACAGTTGAAAATTAAAAATGTTTCCCCATATATCTAATGCATCATTGTTTTATTATTGTTTGGAAGCAGATTAAATCACATGGGGGCCTTCTGGTTTTCTCGAGTCTCGGTTTAACTCAAATTTATGGGATACCTCACCCCGGCTGAATCTTTACAGTAACAATATGTGCTGAAATCATCAAATAGTCTTAATTATTTACCTGGATGCATGAATCTGTGGAAGATAATTATTTTCATATTGAACCTATTCTTTGAAAGCCCAGTGGCCGTCTGAATCTATCCTCCTGCTTCCCCCACTATGTTGAAATAGTTTTAGCATCTTCCTCATCTCTTTAAAATACTGGAACCTCTGTGCTTAATAACGGTGACTTTGGTGTTGTAGACCATATGGTAGCTTGTATCAATTTTCTTCAGTGGATGTGAGGCCAGTCATCATGTGGCTATATTAGAATTGTTTCAGAAACATGCATTAATTTTAGTAGAAAATGTTTAGCATAGACTAACAATTTAAGGTGAATATGTATCATGTATACACATGTATTTAAAGCTGTCTATCACAATTCAGTAACCAAGGAAGAATAGCCCTGATAGTCAAATAAACATCATACATTCTGCTTTTTATTTTGATGCACCTAACACTATGTAAAAGATTCTATTAACAAAAAGATGAATGTTCACACGCTGTATGAGTATGAGTATTGAGATTGTATGTCCACTGACTGTATCTGCAATCTGCTTTTGTTTACTATTCAGAATAATCTACATCTGGAATGTATATTAAACCTGATTTGGGCCTGGACTAGCTTAAAACAAGAATCCTTCCCAATCAGAACAGACAGATCATGTGAAACCTGATGAGAACCTTCAGAAAATTAGCTTTGCAAACTTCAGCCTAGTTTTTGTTCGTCAATTTAAAGACCAACACAGCTGTTAATTCAGCACAAACTCAGGAGTCTCATTCATACACTATAGATAAATCCAAGGTTTGGCGGGGGTGGACAGGTAAATCGAATAAAGGCAGGCAAAGATTAACAGAAAATGTAATTGTCTAGCCAATAGAAGTGAGCACTCAGCGCAGATAAAACGTGTGCAGTGCAGTGAAATGTTATGCATTGGAAGCAAAAATAGGTGTCGTATACATGTACTTTTTTTTCTTACTGCTGAGTTACTTAAGGGAGAAACTGACGGTGATTAGGGCTATTTGTGCATTCAAATCTAACATCCCTCATTGATGCCCTGTCATTGGTGCAGAATTAAATACAGTAAATGGAGTGGTGAATTGTTTGAGTGAAAACGTTGGCTGTGAGTGGTTACACATCTTTAATACTTTGTCCTGTTTTCGTCACGGAGACTCGAGGGTTAATTATTAATCCGAGGTGGTGATGTGGTAAGGACCATGAAGCTGCTTAATATCAAAAGACTAATGTGAGGAAAACTGGAAAAGTTTGGACCAAGCATCTTTTCAACAGATAGGTAAGGACAGACCATGGGGACTTGTTTAAAGTATGAAAACCCATGGATAAAGTGAAGCAAAAGACAGATTTAGAACTGATGGCAGAATGTTCTTCACAGCAAGAAAAACAAGATGAGCAGTACAATTTTAGCCATGGTAGAAGATGAACTAAATGTTTTTCTTATTCATGTCTGTTTTTAACTGATGTTCAATATTCCCCCTCACGTGGATGTAAAAAGTCCCAACTCTGATTTTGAAGAAGAACAGTGTACCTCAACCAACATTGCTAAAACTGGTTGTTTTCATGTGTTTTGAATTGTCTGCTACATTTCTTGCATTGCAATAGTAATTTCCTTTCATTGGTTATAAGATGGTTTGGGATGTATTTAAGTCATGGAAACGGCTATAAAAGTGCGAGTCTTTCTTTACACAAGGAGCCTTCCATTTGCACCTAAACGAGGATGTGCAATACATTTAATGCTATTCTCACAATCTCATCAATGAGAAGTGTTAACCTCACTGTGATCAAGTTGAGGCCTTACTGCTTGCATTCCTTGCAATTACAGACAGCTGTCTGCACTTAAATAGACAACACATTCTTTACAGTTTAAGAATGTGGCTGCT